CACACAGACAAACACATATATTGACACACACACAAACCCATCCAGGCACAGATGCGGACCTATAGAAGCGCACTCATTGCTGCCAGGACGACTGCCGGCGGACAACTCACTGGGACTGTTCGTCGTTTAGCTTCTACTTGCACTATGGTGCACCGTAAATGCACTGCTTATGTTCTTCGTTTTCTCTTCTGTCCTTCGTCCTTTCGCTTCCTCCCGGTTTCCCATTTACGTTCCGGGGGTCACCAGCGCTGCGACCTCGACCGACCCCGTTTTCCTCTACAAGATCTTAGCAGAAGGGACCGCGGCTACTGCTCCTGGGCACGTTCTAGCCAATGCTAGTGCTGGATAATAATGGGCAGTAGTTTGCAGAAGCCTTGTAGCCTACTGCCTGCCAAAACGGCAGAATGAGACCCGCCGTTCAAGTGCCGTGACTATTCTACTATTGCACCTAGCACCATTACTAACGTACCCATAGCACCACTGTTATTTTCACTGGGAAGTGGTGGACAAAGATGACTTAGCGGTGTCTTTTGAACTTCTTTAGCTGAAGCAAAGGCTCAAAAAGATACCCTCGAGGCACCCATCTGCTATTCTCCCTCTTCGGCCGGCTCGGTTTGCTCTGGTCTGTTCGTTTGCATCCACACGATGACCGGTGGCAGCAGCAACGTTGTCGCCATTGTTTTCCTATGGGGTCTCCATTGCTTTTCTCTATGCGTCCCCTTTTCGACCCCAGAAAACGTGTCCATCGCCTCTTTACGTCTCTTCCAATCCACACACGCGCACGGACTCGCTGCCTGACGCCTCGCCGACAGCTTCTTTCTTTTGCGCTGTTGTCGGGGCTAAACGGAAAGAGCCACTTTGCTAACTTCCGGTCAGTCGCGTCTATTGAACGCCTTTGTCCCTTCGGGTATGACAACATACACATCGGTCAGAGCAGCGGCGTTAGAAAGCCTTTATGCTGTTTACGCTATATATACGCGATTGTGAGTACACTTGTCCGTACTATGCACAGTCTGCAGGCTGATTTGAGATACTCGCTTAAGTTCCATTATTACGTTTTCAATAGGTAGAGACTTGCAGTGAAATGCAAAATAAATATTCATATAATGCAATTGAAATTAGCAAAAAGCATAGATGGGTTGTTTTTTTTTTTATAATAACGTCCTTGCATAGAGATAAATTAATCACAACGTAGAAACTACTGGAAAAATTATTGTGTCCTAATTAACTTGCGACGCTGTATATTTTAATGTAATAGCGTTTTTGTATGTCTGTGGATTTTGATCGTAGCGATAATAACCAAATAGCGAGATGCGAAAGTGGGGTCGCTGGAACGTCTAGCCGTAACTTTTTTTTTTCGCTCGCTCTATCTGTTAAGTAGTTCCGTACAGAAGAATCCAACTTCACCTGGCTAAAGTTGAGTAAATTGACTAAAGAATGAGCAGTAATAATATTTTCCCCTTCATGCTAGAATGGTTAGACCTTAAATGAAACCTTTAAACTGGATTGGGTACGTTAATCTAGTATTTGCATTTGTTAGGATACCATTATGTATTAAAATGCACTTAAGCCTCTTTACACGGTCGCAAATAGTTGCTTTTCATGACAATCTGTGGAAATGATTTTGTGGCGAATTACTTAGAATACGCTGTCAAATTGTCGATATTATCAGGAATACGTCAGAATAAGTATTAATCGAATAAGAAATATATTTCTGTCTTTTCGAGCGAAAAGCCCTATTGTTGTTCGTCTTCTCGTTAACCTTATCCAACTTGTTATTGTTGTTGTTGTCCTTTCGGTCGTGCAGTTACGTGCCTAATTTAGACACATGTGATGGTCTAGATTTAACTTGGACATGGACACGACCTATTTCCTGCTAGGAGCTGGCCGTCTAAAGTAATGCCTAATGGTTTAAGTATGGAGCAGAAAATACGAAAAAGAGACTTTAAACTGGTCGTCTGCCACTTCAGAGTACTGCTAACTTCGGCAAAATGTTTCCAGATTGCCGGAGCCATCAAAAGGATTCAGAAGAAAAACGACAAAATTGGCTTACTAATGATAGATAACATCCGTTTTCATGGAAGTTGCTTACATAATATGTTCATCTCATATAAATGACATTAACAGGGCAAAGCCATTAATAGCGTGCACAATTGATGACGTGTTAATACAGTTTATCTCACTATGCGTACTAGTACCAGTCACAACGACTTTTCTACCTTCTAGTCCTAACAACATATCACTTACATGAACGTTGTTGCCGTGTATCCCATGCAGCATAAATAAAGCTTTTTATCAATCACTGTCGTACTGATATAACGCAGGACGCCATATGAGTACGCCGTCTTAGCTTTAAAGAAGCTCAGGCTCGAGGAGTCGAGGTTGTGAGACCTTGATCCCTTCACATATATTGTCGCTTTCACTGTCAAGACGCCATATAGCCGTATAAATACCCGTATCGTCAACCATTTTGTTAGTCGCTAGTTCTAGCAGAAGCGGACAAGCCTCCTTCGCGACCTTTATCCCACGTTGCCGGCGCTACCCTTCTAAGCATCAATACAGGCTTGACCGAACGCCCGCCGCTTCCGGCTTCTGATGTGTTGTTCTCAGCTGGCGCTTACAACAGCGCGCATTAATGGGTGAAATTAATTTTGCCACACGGATTCGGGAATGACGGTCACGTAGTGCTGTATATGTACCATGTGCTTTGGCTATCTCTTGGGGAACTAGGGTAGAGCTAGCGGCTACCCTTCCAACGTTAGGCTGACCCCGGCGGCGGAGGGAGAAGGGGAGACAATTGCAAGTGTGGCGGTGGTTGCTGCGACTGAGCAACTGAGTAAGTCGAGGCCGGAGATATTAACGTCTAATTAATGATGTTACTCTGTTTGTTGTGTTATCCGTTGCCGGAATGCCAGCCGGTGAAGTCGCTAGCTACCAACATGGCCACCAGCCACCGCCCTGCCATACGAGATGGACGAGTTGCTGCTAAACGAACACAATTACACCTTCTGCCCCCATGGCCCCTGACCACGAAGCTCGTCGATACATCGTAACAGTGGCGCTAGCAGCAGAAGCAGATGAGGTAAACAGCCTATCTCTTCCACCTTCTGATTTTGTGTAAGAGCATTTACACAGACTTTTGGTTCTGTCGCATTTTTGCTTATGTTACAACCTACGTCGCGACTATATGAGCCAATAGATGATGGAAACGACGATCATCATAAATATTGTAACTTTGTACTCTGACCTTTAGGGAATGTCAGAACGTGCGAGCTTCCGTAAGACGGAAGGAGGCTGCTTAACGTTACCCGTCATTTTTAGCGTTAGTTGGACTAAACAGAAATTGTAATTGACAGATTTTGTAATTCCTACTAAAAGTGTCAGACACACATTTTAATGTGATACTAAGACACTGTAATTTTCCGTGCTCGCTCGAGCTCGCATTGTATTAACCGAGGTAAAACGAACTTGCTATTGGATATCGTGTTTGCAGAGTTTTAGTTCTATATGAACGTAGACAAAATCGCAAAACAGTACGCGGCGACCTAAGCAGACACTCTCCTTTACATTGAGCACAGGCCCATCGCTTCTTATTAGACTTCAATGACTGTTGGGCACCATTAAGGTTCCTTTCCGTGTATATATATATTCTTTGTGATGGCTTCTTACGCGAATTTCTCCTTTGCCCCTGTACGGTAATATCGTAGCCGGTTTCATTCCTATGCTCGCAAATCACACCTTCCTGTATATCTTTACGAACCCCATTCATGATTGGCTTCGAGCTTTTTGCCACACTCTACTTGTAAAGTCACTTTACTCATAGTTCCGTCGCTTCCGACAACGACGTCGGGCGTAACTTTCTTCTGATCACGTGCCGTAAATTAACTCCGATGAACGTTGAATTAGACTTCTTGAGTTTGTAAGAAATTTCTTCGAGTGGGAGACTCATGAACTTTAGTACTTCCTTAACACTGTTTTTATCCGATAAACATACTTTTCCATAAAAGTTCCGTAAAATAAGACGCTTTTTTGCCTTCAACTATAGATACTTGCTTAGAGTCAAGCAAAATTAGGAATCTTAGGGTTAATCTAAAATCAGCATATATAGGGTTTGGCATGATTGTGTTAAGGTACCAATATATCTTAAGCATTATTTTTCGTCACGTTTTTAAATATGTTTCTCTTCTAGCATTCGACTTGAAGCGAATCATTATATTTGGTATAATTACTTTATATTGGAGAATTAGTTTTTTTTTTTAGTTATAACATTTGAGGCTCACTCGGCTTTACTTTAAAATCTACTCCTTGAAATGTACGCTCGGTCGAGTCTAGTCGTATTTTCCAGAACTGCAAACCGTGCAGAACACTGCAGCGACGGTGAGCCATTACTCCTAGAAGATAAAATAAAGAAAGCCAAATGCAGCACTTCAAGTTGCATGCAATACGCCCGAAGCAAAACCATAAGTAAATCAGTTGGAGGAACCTTTTTGCAAAGCTCCGTCAGCTGCTTCTATAACTGGGGCATCTGGATAGTTCGAGTTAGCGACGTTAGCTTATTATAACATATAAATGGGAGTAGCTGATGAAGATAATGACGGAATTAGACGTCTCATAGCAAATGATAGCTACTTGCCCCTCGCTCGCCCCCTAATTGAGCAGCGCTTATGCAGGTGCTTTTAATGACACGTTGCCGACTATCAGGCTCATATCGCAGGTGTCCGATGGGCGTATGTGTTAAAGGCGAAGTAAGCTCTATCCAACCTGGGCAGGTTTCCTAAGCCCACAGAAAAGCGCACGATAAACATCTGGCTGGTTGCACTAAAATACCTGGCAGAAGGACAGTCACTGGCATTATGTGCAATATGTGCGCAACATTGTTGCGTACTCTGTTTGGTGCTCCTGTACATTAGGGAAGGTGACTGTATGACTTTCATAAATAGCATTTTGATTATAATGTTAGCGATTCTAGTATAACCGGTGGCATTTTGGAATGGTTTCAGAAATATCTTTACTGCAACTCATGCTTTACGTTCTCACGTGGGCTGGCGCTATTAGCGTGAGAATCGACCGTTTGTCAGTACCGAGTTCAGTCGAAAACGGTACGGCCGACTCGGTGATACTCGATTGCATCTATTCGTACAGCCACGAAGATCAGCAATTGGTTGTAAAGTGGTTCTTCAACCAGGACCCGAAGCCCATCTACCAGTGGATCCCAGATCTAAAGAAAAGATCGTACTCGTCGAAGTCTGGGTTTGACGGACATATAAATCGGTCCTATGTCGCCACTCATGACCCGCTCACACGGTACCGAGCGTTGAATATTCTTCGGCCGACGACTGAAATGAGCGGTACTTATTCGTGTTCTGTCACCTCTCTACAGGGACAGGATACTAGAGCCGCTGATATGATCGTATATGGTAGGTTCTACCAAATTCAAGTTGAATTTCTGCTTGTTCAGGGTAGAGTCGAGCGTGAGTTGTTAAGGTGGATCTCGTACCGATTTGTGAAAAAGGATAAACAAGCGATATTTTTATAAAAAATAGGTTAAATATACAGCGGCTTTTGAGATTTATAATTAACGCTAGATAAAGCTAGGACCTGAGAAGGTATGCTGTTAACCTCTAAGACGTGAACGAAATTTTGTATTGAATTACAGCCAAACCTAAGAAATTCGACCTAAGCTTTCAGCGGCCTGCGCACTCTGAGGAGACGCAATTTCGCTGTTTGGTCGAGGGTATTTTTCCTGAGCCACAGGTTCTTATGTACAGAGTTGAACAGATGCACATTGCCGGTAAGTCCAATCAAAACCTGGATGAACATAGTAGTGCCAAAATCAAGACTTGCCTTATGTTGTAGCCCGTCGATCATATATATATATATATATATAAAATTTCAGACGTTGATGATCCTGTTCGATTTTTAGGCATGCTGTGATTGGTTACGTGCTATAAGCTAGTGGCTGATTGATTCAATAAGATCGCCCAATTCCTTCATGAGGTATCCTATTCGATTTATTTCACTGCATAAAGTTCGGTCTACTATAAAAGTGTCAATCGTATCCGCTGTAAGAAGCGATTCAGACGTTACAAATATTGTTTTTAGAAAGTGCTACGGTGTCTTCATAACACTTTGCATCACTGTGGACATCCGTTGTCCACTCACGCTCGCTGTGAACCGAGATCCTCGTTCATACATATACTTGTATCTTGTGGTAAGCCTTAAAATTTGAGTCTCCTGAGCGCGACCTATCCGTTCGAATAGTGCGGTTTTGAGTATAGCTAGGTACGCAGACAATACTGTTTGACTCTAAAGAAAACGCGTGTAAATACATACAATCGCTCGTGAATTGTCAGGTCAAGGCGATTTCTCATTATTAGGCGATTAAGAGAGCAACTAGGTGATAGCGGAATATAGATGTCATAGGTGGAAGTTAATATGGAAAGCAGGGTAGAAATCGTTAGTTCCATTGCACAATATTCCAGGTAACGATTACTTAAACGTTGACAATATGACTCAATTAAACTACTCGGTCCAGCCGGTGGCTGAAATGGGTGTAGTGCGCGGAAGCGATAAAACGGAGCTGGTGAACGCCCAGGCCCAGCAAAAGCGGGCTGCCCGTGATGGATATTCTACGGTGCTCACCACATCGTTGTCAAATCGGCACTTTCGTAGCCATTCGAGCTCAAGGCACCTGTTCTTTTGTGTTTATTCAATCCCGTCCACTGACATTAAGCAGACGCGAGTACTCGAATTTTATCCAGGTCAGTTTCTCGGCCCAGCTTACTTTGACCGGATAATCCGATGCAACAATTGATAACTAGTTTTTTCTACACATCGTTAATATTAGGCAAGCAAGTATGATTTGAAAGCTACTCTCCTAGGCAGCCAGGTCAGCGGTGGGGCCAAAAAACTAATGCCTATAACCTTCTCAATCTCCTTTACAAAAAAATGAGATCGTTCGGTGGGTAATATTTTAGCTATGATGCGACCGTTTTTAAAATAAGGTGCGTTGGCAAAATGCTTAAAAATTAAAAACAACTTGGAATAGGTGCCGAAAAATACTTTTTTAACAACAGCAAAATATTGCTATAGGGTGTCACATGTGGGTATCGCATTAAAACAAGCCTTTAATATTGTTTTATTTGCTTATTTCAGAGAGATACATCTCGAATTCATGCGCCATTAGCATATCGTTGTTGAGTATAGTTCTAGGACTTGTACTCGACAGGACTAGAGACTGCTTCGTGGTCTAGGTGATGATCAACATTTTAGAAAAGGAAGCTTGAATACAATGTTTGCAGATATAAGCCATGTAAGTATGATGTCACTATAAATTTATTTGACTTTAAAACACTGAACACCTAGGACTGCAACGTTATAGGAGTCCAGATAGCAAAACCAACAAAAATTAGCTAAATTTTAGCGGCCAGAATAAATTACCGAAATCGGTAAGACAGTTACTTTAATTAGCAAAGATATCGAGCAAAAAGTCTGACATTGTTGTTACTTTTAATTCTAGGAGATCTAGTTGGCCGAGCGAACCATCGCCGTAACTTAATGGGAGTGATGGACTAGTGCATCGTACTTAAACGTTTTCACCGGTAGCCAGATCCTAGCTAGCTAGGGAACTGAGCGCGAATTCAGTGAAAGCAGCGCGACTGGATTAGAGAAAAGGATCTATAATAGAAAAACAGCATGGCAGTGTGTCCAGAACAATTCCTTTATCATAGCAAAAATGATGATCGGAAGAAGTAGAAACGAAACTTCCAATGAGTTTAATGAGAAAGTTCCAATGAGGCTAAATAGTTCTAGTTCTTAAATCGAAACGTCTCTCTGTGCTTCACAATATATGGTAACTAACGAAAAACATTTTCATCTGAAATGTTTAAGTTGGCGGAGTCATTCTCTCCTGCTGATTCCGTTGCCCTTTTTATGAACACGGTACGAATTTCGGCTCATCGAAATTGCACGATGCCAAACGCCTTATAAACCTCGTAAGTTGATAGCGAACCTTCCAAGTCTTTCTCAGATTGGTCGGCAGACAAATGAATCTCAACGTGAGCCATCTTGATGTATCAGCTGAGATGAGTATTGCAATATTAAAGGATATGTATATGGGTGTTGTTCGAAAGTTCAGGAACACAACTATTATATTTGTGTATCAGATATTGAGTACGTAATGCCGCTATTCCGAGGACTCTAGCAATCGTTACGGCTGGTCTATTGTAGAACAGTTGTAGTGACTGGGACGGTATTGCTTAACGCAAACAACAACATAAGGAACAAATATGCTCTGTTTCCCATGGGTACCCAGTACAGTTAAGTGAGCGTGACTGTCACGTCTAGTCTCAACCAGCGATAACTGATCATACGTGAAGGTTATCTGTCCTCATACAACTCCGATAGCTCGAGAACGATTCAGATTGTGACCACCGTAGCTGGGACCGCATTGACAAACGGCTCTGACCAAAGGTCACCCACTTCTTCCCCTCTATTCATTTTCGTGTTCTTCTCTATAACTTATATATATATATATATATATATATATATATATATATCTGGTTTGTTTGTTAAATATTCCTAGCATCAAATGGTTATAAACAGCATTCAGTCGGGAGCTTCAAATCTTTTAGTCTTCATCAGATTTCATTGCGTTTATAGTCCTTTAGAAAGAATGCAATAGTAATGAAAAATAATAAGATCGACTATTACTTTCTTTACTTATAACCTTGCTGGAACGGAAGGTTGGACAGGCTTAATCGAGGTCAGGAGACAAAGAATGACGGATCTATTGACATAGTTCATTAGTACTGAACGTCAGAAATGAGGGTCCGGTATCAATTCAAGGACGTATTGTTGACGTATCCGTAATGCGTAATTCTCTATCTACTGAATGAATGAATGATGGCAAATTATGTGTAAGAATGGCTATATTTCAAACCCAGGACGAAACTTGTCATTGTGTCGTTAATTTACAGTTGGATTCAAGTGGAATCTGCTTGGACTTTTTAATGGTGACATAGCAACAAAACAACGAAGATAACACGACAGACGAGTATTGCCATTGATTAGTAATACCCCTTGAAACTCGCAAAAACAACTAAATAACTCAATCAGCGATTGTCAATGGTTTGGATCGTTTACGCCATTTATTTACAATGTGTATATAATGCTATACAAAGTAGTGGGCGAAGTGGGTAGAGCTTATTTAAAATAGGGCGACTACAGGTAACTCTATAGTAAGAGGAAAGCAATACGATTGTACCTACGTACGGTGCTCGAAATGAGGCTAAGGGTAGTCATATCTTGTTTTTCAACAGTTAGATTTTATCTAGGTTAAAAGGTACATACGATATTAAAAAGTGCTGCTATTTTCATAAAAGTGACCGTTTCTAATTTTGTCTTGAGCCCCATACGTGGAACCATAATCCGTACGAAGCAATAGATCTGGCCAGATAAGCTCTCATAGGTGCGCCGATGCAAAGTACTGGATAATGAGTAATGCTAGAATGAAGCAGGGATGAAACCGACGTCATGGCGGGCACCATAAATTGATTTCAAATCTTTCTTTGATAAACACAAATAGTAAAATATTTCCGAATAAAAACGTCTACGTATATTTCTATTCGTGTGCATCTGTATCAGAGCTCCTCGTATGATGACTAACATCCAGGGGGCTAACAAAAGCAATTTTTTCTTTAGTATTACGGATTGGGCTTCGGTGATGGTTGCATGCTAAGAAGTTAGGCGAGGAGCGTAGTAGGACGGCAACAGTGTTCAAATGACAGTATGTCAGATCAAACAGGATTGAGCGGACGATAAAGAAAGTCAAATGCTTTGATCGAGGAAGAGGGCATTTCAAGCATAAGCCATAAGTGCGGTGGCAGAATGTTGACCAGGCGGAACAGGGAAAGTTCGTGCGGCACTGCTATAACTTGATAAAATTTGAGGACACACTCTATAGCGTCTGTAAAAATGTAAATTTACATTTTAGGATAAAACTCAAATTACCATGATTATTACGTAATGTTGTTTTCATTCGTCTGAAGAGGTAACGTGTCTAGATGCCCTGAGGAGTAATTATTGTTTATATATAGTTGTCGTACAATGTGGATCTGTAAAGTTGAACGTGGGGCATATTTAAGCGTGCATAGCGTCATAGGCGTCAACGCTACGGCTTGTTGCCTTGGCTATTTTGACGTTTTTCTGTGACAAAAAAAATTGCAAAAGCAATTTCATACCTGTTGTTCTCTGTATCGCGCATGCATTGAATCGGTACTCTTGTCCCTCTTTGAATTTCCAAATGTAAGGTCTAGAAAATCTGTTTTTCTCAACCATATAGGTATGTTGCGATAGCAAGGCATGACTAGCCTTAAGTCCCACACTTTATCAATGTTGTTTCCGTTCTTTCAGGACTTCTGATTAGCAACTAACAGTGTCAATAATATTCTAATTATAATTATTATCTATGACCGCTACACTTATTTAGTCATGTTATAATAACTGCATAGAAAATAACCAAACTACAAGTTGTAACAAAATTAATTAAATAAATAAATACGTATGATTGTTTAATCGATCAAGGCAATGAATGATCCCGGATAGTACTCAAACGACGTACAACGTTGATTGTTATCCATCATTACAGGTCTAGTCTGTGGGGTTTCGGGCCGAATCGGTCGTTCCAGCCTATAGAATGAAGCGCCTTCTTGCTAACCAATGCGTTGGGCGGGGGCAGGACTAATCCACCGTACCCTCTCGTATCTCTCGTAGGAAAGGAGGGCGCATTGCTGCGACCTTGCTGGCCCTCCCTACGGACTGGTGTGATTGTCGCTCAATCGGCTGGTCGTTTCTGTAATCCATCCATAACCTCATCAGCCCCAGCGTGATTTCTCTCCCTATGGGGATTTTAGGCTTTGCGCTAACCCAAGAGGGCAGGACGCCGGAGAACACAGACCAATCTGACCGTCGTTCACGCCCTTCTGGTCACGTTGCACTGTTGGCCATGTTTAGTACTACCAACAATGGTGCCATCCTTTTTAAGTATTCTTTCTTAATAATCTTGTATGGGCAAGCGCTCATTTTAGTACAAACTCTTGAGTGAGATATATTAGATTCGTTGAAGACCCAGTGAAAAATAGGGGAAACAAACTTAATGTAATATCTAAATACTTTTTTTGTATGTTTATACAATTTTTGTCGTTGGCTATTAGTGTCGTACATTATCAAACAAAGTAGCAAAATAGTTTTGTAGAATTTCAGACAGCATATGGAAGTCTGTGTTGCAGCTCTGGCGATTTCGCTAAGCACCGAAATACACTAAAGAATAACTTGTTTCATTATGGATGATCTTTATGATTCCTCGAATGGTTGAAACGCATATATTTTATATGGGTCTCCTCTCTGCCATGTTTCAACGATAACTATCGCGCCTGCTTTAATCAGTGTTCATCTGCCGAAGTAGCGTTTACTTCGTAAAACTTTTCCCTATAATTTAACCGAAAGATGTATGGTCAAATTATTCCTCTTTTACTGGCATCTGCATTGACATACGGAGATCAAATCATCATAATTATGAAAAAAGTTTTTGACCTAAACTCCGTTCGCCTGATCGTTGGGTTTGCCGCAGTCACAGCCAGAACAATTCAGTTGGATATTTACAGGGGCCATCAGTTCTATATGACAGGAAATAGATGTGTCCGATTCCTTCTGGATTTATAAAAAAATTTCAGAGAAAACTTATGGCTGATCCAAATCTCTAAGAAACGTCATTATACATGCCGTTGGGCAGTTTCTTCGTAGGAATAGCCTTTTGCCTTCTGACAATTCGGAGCCCTGAGCCTAAAGCAGAAGGGCAGTTTGCCGTGCATTGTAGATAAGACTATCATACATGAGAAAAACTGATTGAAGTAGCGGAGTTAACGGGTACATGGCACAATTGCCTTAACCAAGTTTCGAATCAAGATTCTGATATTTAATGCCGTATCGCCAGACACAAAGCTCAATTAAAAATTGACTTATGAGAGAGTCAGCATAAGGCGCAAGTAGTGGGGCTTCGCATACCTAAATACTAAAGAAACTGGCGATCGTCGTTTGCTTCCAGACGTAAGCTAAGACACATAGATATTTCACTGGCTCAAACTATGCGATCTCATACAACGTACACCTCATACAACGTATAAGAGAAACGAATTTTCTACGTTTCGAGCTTGCCTGTATTGTAGTAGTGGGTAAGTACGGTTCGACCTGTGCTCGCAGATTATCCTTCCGTGTCTATTCAAGGTCTGTACTATACCAAGAAATGACTGTGTTCGTAAAATATCTTTTCTAGAGACAATGGATTGCTTTTCGCTTACCGGAGATTGCGTAAATTGCCGACGCGATGCAAATCAACCCTTGTCGCCTACCCTGGGCCTGTGCACTGCAGGCTTGTTCGTAGGACAACCAATAAGCTGATCTTTGCTTGACATTAAGACCGAGCTACATAATAAAGACGTTGTGAGATAACGCACAAGTTAACTTACTTCCCGAAAGGACAAAACAGGGACGATAGCAGCAGAATTTTGGCAAGATCGTTATTTCAAATAGGAGTGGCTTCGAATGTCGTATTCACATAGCAACCATATTTTGCAGTTATATCAAGGTCAGGATTCGCCCAAAACATGGCAACGGTTGGTCCAGTGCTGTAAGAAAGTAATCTGTGAAGTAACTAAAACAATGTCTACGATAAGTCTAATTAAGATCCTGAGTACTCTTTTGTAAAGTCAATTAGCGCATACTATTTAAACACAATGGATGGAGGAACGCTTTTACTTTTTGAACAATCACCCTTTTACAGATTGTGCTTATTTAAGAAATGCCAGATATAAAGTAAATAATTGCTGAGTACTGATATTTACGATCTTCAAAAAAAGAGTAAGCTCACAAGTACATCTAATTCCGATGAGTCTAGCGCTTTGTTAGAGTATCAAACACTTTTCAGAAGTGCAGAGAACCGTGAAACGAATATTCCAAGTAATATCTGGAGGTAGACCCGATGGTTAAACGACCAACCTATATATTTATGTTAGGTTTCCCAAATTACTAATGTCACAGCCAGAGTGCATCGTCATTGCCTGTACTACCCTAGTTGAGTTGAGTTTCCGCAGTTAGAGTCGCTTACATACATACATACATACATTATCCACATCGTTTGAGACAGCCGTTCTTGTGTCCATGTAGATGCCATAAAAGAAAAAAAGTGGGACGATGAGATGTAGTTTTTCGCCAGGTGGGATTCTTCCCATGTTTCAGCACGACACAAGAGCCAGTACATCCTCTTCCCGGAACCACCACCTGGGATTCAAATTCATACACTTTAGCCGCTTGAGGTCGACCACGCAGATGGGCAAAGTGTACCCTTGGATATACGTCCAGACTGGCCGAGCTAGAATCCGTTTCGGCCTCTAACGGTCTCTATGCGTTGATGGCAGGCTTCTTCTAATGCTGATGAGCTGAGCTTAGCACTTCTGGCGAATGAATGCTCCTAAGCAACTCTACACGCGTACACGGACAAGTCCGCACGCTTCGCAAACTACCTAACCGTGTCTGATCGTATGCTGGACCTGTCGCATCTGAAGATTTCATGCAGTCTCTTTTGACAAAACGTAATACTCTGGCAGCATTTGCGTCGCAAGGCCGAAATTCAAAAACGTTGTTCCTTAGACAGATGTTTTCCCGACACGCGATATAAAAATAATAGTCTTTAAATATATATAGGTGTACGGCCCTGTCGGATTATCCAATCTGATTAACTTACGATGACTTCTTTTCTTACGCGTGAGGCTATATACAATAATTGGCCTTTTGTTAAGGGCCCAGTGTCCACATAGTGGGTCAAATAAGCTTCATGGGTGGTACTCTTTAGAATGTGCTTTCACGGAAAGATGGAACACAATAAGAGTTAATCAATAAATGCTTAGGTTGTTGAGTTTCAAAATGGTGTTCATTAAGTGTCCTAGACAAACATTAATACTACTCATCAAAAATCTGACCTTTTTCTACGAAGTATACAAAAATATCCTATCCTTGTAAACTCTGTATAGATTTGTTTCAGTATGTATACGCACACAAGGGTTCCGATTTGAAGCCCGAAATTCTTCCCGATAGCAGGAATTAACCACACATCTATTTTCTATTGATTATACATCCTGGGGAGTCTTCCCACAAACTGGCACCGTCACGCCTGAGCTTTTTTTGTTATTCTAGGACTGACGTTCATTCTAGGTTATCGGGTGAGGATAAATGATTTGGTGAACTGGCATATATATTCGACAGAACCAGAAATGTCCATAACAAAAGTGTTTGACAAATATCTTAATTATCTTAAAAGAACATGTGATAATTTTTCAGGACCGATGGCTCTAGGCGCGAAAATTTGACAGGGGACCTTACGTCGTCGATTTAGCTTTGTTGTCCGTCCCTTCATAATCCGATAAAGCAGCGCCACGATACCTCAGTACTGATAGAATTGAGCATTTCTATATACACACAGTACTAATACTGGCAAAAGAGCATTTCATATATATTCGAATAACAAAAAAATACGATTATATTATAGGTCTTAAAGATGGCCTTATTGAGAGTAGTCTCACATTTTCGCCATTTTGTAATGACGGAGCTAATTAAGACGACCCGTGAGCCGGCGACTTATGCGAGGATTGCTGGTTACGTACGCCGCTGCCACTACTGCATTGGAATTTAATATGATATGTCTGCATATTTTATAATGACGGTCGCGTCGTCATAAAAACAGTGCACGCGTTAAGCCGAGAGTGAATGACTAATCGTAGCAGCCGACGTCGCGGCAACGGCCATCGTCGTCATCGCCAAAGACGTAGAACGCTATATTAACACACGGTTGTCGCTAGTAGCTCGTCTTGCACTTCGTCATTTACCCGTTCCTACTTTTCGAGCGGTCTTACATTCGTTCATTCCTATCCCTCGATAAAAGACCTAATCAAGATTAGTATTTTCTAGTATAACTCAACTATGGTGTAAATAGAAGTACAGACGGTAGCAGTTTTACGCATCTTGGACGTTGGCTAAAGATTTAGTAAGTGCAATACAACTGAAATGTTTACATTATAAACATTTCCATAGCTGATGATACTTTAGTGTGTTGTTAGTCTTAGAGATTTGT